TTGACTGTGGGTATTTCACTACACTGTGCCTCAGTTTCCTCAACTATAAAAGGGGATACTGATACTGACTTCCATTGTAAAATACTTTGTGACCTAAAGATGAAAAGTACTATGTAAGAGCTAGTCATTATATAACAAAATCCCTTGCCTTCCAAGATTAAATGTAATAAGTATGTTAATGTTTCCACCACTATACCCTTGAGAGCAGGTGGTTTTCTAACTGTTCTAAGTCAGTCTGCCTGCTCCATATAGCCTCAACACTTGCCCCTTGCATGGAGTTGGCTTTATTAACAAACAAATGAAAAGTAAGAGGGTGACACATTGCACCCCAAATTTATCATAGTAATATTATTATGATATGATTACAGGATAATCATGATGCATTTTGCGCAATATTAGTTATGGGAGCTGTCATTGGAAAATATATGATTTGATGAATATGAATATCATATTTGTATGCAGGTATCATTTTTGTATTTGAAGTTATGAAACATTGACTATGTATCTGTATTTCTATTACAGTTATCCCCAGATGAAATCCACTAGACAAGATGCTTTCAGTCTAGACAACTGGTTGAGTAGGGCCTATTCAGGGCAATGAGCCCTTAGGGAAAACCATACACCTTATTTCCCAGCTGGTGAGCCTTCTTGAGAAAACTCCAGTCTGAGGGGATTTCTAGCCTGTGTTATGAAAGACCTAGAGCTGCCGAACTGTTAAAGCAAGTGCAGCTTGCTCCTTAAGAATCTGCCACCTGTTGGTATAATTGCTAGGGTGAGACTCTGCTAATTCATATCCTATCATGGTCCAAATATTTGCAACCCCAATTACCAAGGGGCTTGAAGGGGCATCAAAATAAGGTGGTATTGAGCAGAAAAGGAGTGTCCAGTGTAATTAGCTCATAGGCTCTTTGAAGACTCTCCTATTGGCAGAGCTCATAGAAAGCCCCAAAGGGAGTTAAACGTATCACCAGAGGGACCTGCAAGAGGACTGAGATAGATGCGATGATCATCTCCTCTATAAGGGTGAAGCTATTGTATCACCAGAGGGACCTGCAAGAGGGCTGAGATAGATGCCATCATCTCCTCTATAAGGGTGAAGCTATTCAAGTAGCTGTGCTGGTATAAGGAAGTGTAATTTACACCACTTTGTGCCCAATTTTCCAATATCTTTCCTTGCTGTTGGCTGTTACCTATTTATTTCAGACTGTGTATGTTATTTGCACAAGGACATCAGGTGATTTTTTTGTGTGGCTTAATTCCAGCTCAGCTGAGTGCCCAGGAGATTTGTAGCATTCCTCCTCATGAAAGTTTATAAATGGCAATATTCCTCCCAACTAGCACAGTTTGCCACACATATATCAGGGATTCCGTAATAACACAGATCAGTCTCTTCAGAAAAGATCAACAGCATCACAAATACTTTCAGGTGACTGGGGCTACCCATTATGATTCTACAGCTAGACAACAGTTTGTAGATTGGATGGACATAATTTTAAAATCTGAGTAGCTAAGAGCTAGACATTTAGGGTACATCAGCAGAACAGGGCTTAACTCGAAATGAACTACGCAAATTGAGCTATGTCACTTGCATAGTTTATTTCGAAATAAAGCTCTCTTCCTCTGACTTCTCTTACTCTTCGTACAATGAGGGTTAGAGGAGTCGGAGAAAGAAGTCCTCCAGCTTGACAGTATTTTGACACTATTGAAATAACTGCCTGCTGTATAGATGCGGACTAAGTTATTTCAAAATAATGTTGGTGTGTAGACGTATCTTTAAAGACATAGTGAAGTGTCAAAATTAGTGGCTGGGGTTTCAAAGCTCCCAGAGAAAGAAATGTGGATGCACATCACCTTTGAAAATCCAGCCACATGTATCTAATTTTAGGCAATGAGAATTGCAATATTTTATGTCTTAAGCACTTTGGGTATGTTTGCACTGCAAAAAACAAAAGCAAACAAAACGTAACAGCAAGTCTCAGAGCCTGGATCAACTGACTCAGGATTGCAGGGATTGTTTGCCCTATGGGGCTAAAAACAGCAGTGCTAATGTTTGAGCGCAGATTGGAGCCTCGACTTCAAGATGTTCCCCCCACCCCTAAGATTTCTGAGCCCAAGCTCCAGCCTGTGCTGCTATTTTTAGCCCCCTAGTACACACTCCATTCAGTCAACTTGGGCTTAGACACTTTTTGCTATGGGGCTGTCTTTGCAATGTAGGCATAGCCTCTGTGGCTCAGTTTCTTATGCACCTTTACAAAACACTGTGAGGACTTCAGAAGAAAAGTGCAAAGTATAAGTATTCAATAAGAGGACTAATGTCATGTCTAAAAACAATTCAGTAGCACAGTTAAACTAATCACATTGTATATAACCAAGTTCAAATACATTATTTATCAATAGATAGTTTGATTAGTGATTGGATTAGAGGACTGGACATTAGAGGTTTGAGTTTCTGTTCCTAGTCCTCTGTTGACTCACAGCACAGGCGAAACCTTACTGTGCCTCCATGTCTTCACCAGTAAAATGAGTGGAGACTGGCCAGATGGCAACTCAGGCAAAGTCTGGATGCAGAGCTGAACATCTCCAGCATTCAAGGAGATTTGGGTGTGAAGTTCAGGTTCATTGCTAAAAAGGAGAAGACTCACACCACCACCTGCCTCATGGGGTACTATGAGACTCAATTTCTTAATTTTTGTGAAGATGCCAAGAAAATAATTTTAATTACTAATTATTATTAATAGAAAACAAGGATAATCATTTTAACTCTTTCTCTCAACTTGCTCACCACCCCCATTCCCTTCCACCTTCCAAAAAAAAAAAAGACCAAAACACAAAAAAACAACAACAACCAAGCACAAAATAATCCTCCAGGACAGATGTTCAAGATGTTTCAGTAATATATCATACATCGAAGCCAGCATTCTATGCAGGATGCATTGTGGACTGCCCTGCTTTTACGTTATTGTTTGGATGGGGAATCAGTGATGAGAAGCAATTTTAATGTTGAGGCTTCATGAAGCAAAATAGCAGCGGAAGACTGGGCTTGTCATTTCAGGGAATTGCCTGGCAACAAGAAGATTTTGATTCTGTTCTAACCTCTGGCTCTGGATTGCTATAGGACCTTGGACAAATCCCTTCACCTCACTATGACTCAGTTGCTCTATGTTTAAACCAAAGCCTTTGGATTTTTTCTCTTCATTATGCTACAAACACATGCACTTGTGTAACTTTACTCAGAGGAGTTGTCTAACTCATATTACCCATGTGAGTTAAGTTACACTCATTAGCAGCTATTTGCAGGATCAGGCCCTCTATTGCCTATCTAGGCCCTGAACCTATAATGCACTCTGCGTGGATTGACCTCACTGTACCACAAGTAGCGTAGCTTCAGGACAATGATGGGCCGTCAGTTGCTATGAGCCACCTTTCCCCTCCTCCCGCTGGCTTTGGGGGAGAGAGAGGTAGATACACTGTAAAAATGGGGCCCCCATAAATGCATGTGCCCTGCATTTCCTACCCAGAATTCAGGGTTTGCCCCATTCTGCTTGGCCAATACTCCCAGTGGGGAGTGGGGTCTTGGCTCAGGGGCTTGCCCCACTGGTGCTCCAAGCAGGTTAGAGAATCAGGGCATGGAAGTAGTGCTCCTGTGGGATTGGCGCACGGGGGATTGCCCCACTCTGCCCAGCCAGTGCTCTGAGCGTGGAGTGGTATCAGGGTGCTCCCAGCAGGGTCTGGCTGCTGGTGACAGCCACGGCTCCAGTGCTCCTGCCGCGAAGCAGGATTGGGGGGTTGCCCTACTTCCCCTGTTC